GTCCTTAGGGGAATCACCTGACCTACATGGTTTCTCTCTAATAAACTTTTTCTCTGGCTGCAAGAAGATTTGGGTTAAATTCATTCAGGCAGAGCCCACGTCATGATCTAGGAGCCCTAGCGCCCCAAGACCTGAGTTCAAATCCAACCTCAGACACTTGACACTAGCTGTGTCACTTAACCTTGACTGCCTCACCAAAAAAAAAAAAAAGATACTTTATTTGAAATTCTAACACAAAATAGACTGCCCCTGTCTTGAGTTCTTCTACCTTTGGTGTATTTTCATGTCCTCCATGCCTGGAATGGACTCTCATCTTCCTCCATCAGAATCCTTATTTTCCTTTCAGGCTCAGCTCATTTCCATTCAACAAATATTTATTTAACTCCTACTATGTGCAAGGTAGCTTGGCTGAGATGACAGACAGCAGGCCTGAGTCAGGAAGACTTGAGTTTGAGCTCTGCCTCTGACACAAGCTATTCATGTGTCCTTGGGCAATTCTAAGACTAAATTTTAGAGAAAATGCCAACATGCATTGATAGACAGTTTTTCCTGCTAGGAGTTGGTTACTGCACCAATAAAATGACAGATTAACTAAATAAAGAGTACAGAGAAATCTGTTAAGCCAGGGAGTTAGCCATTAAAGACAAAATGAAATCATTATTGCCTTCAAGGTGCTTATACTTGACAGGGTCTTGTGGAGGTTAAGGGTAAGTTTGATGATTAATAAATGTTTATTGATAACTCACTAGGAAAAAAAATAACTTTACAAGTCAAAGAAAGGGAACTACAAAAGTTGTATAAATAGAGACACTCAGGCTGCTGCCAAAGGCAGGACGAGATTTGTGGACTGTTAATCTGGAAGTGATGAGGATGGGAGCTAGACCCCAAAAAGGAAAAACCCTGGATTTTCCCACAAGGCCAAATCTCTGGCATTTGCCTGAGGCTATAATCCCATCAACTGGCCTTTCACTGTGGCTACACCCAATCTCCCAATTCTGTTATCCTTAATCTAGCCTAGCCCTCCATTATTTTACCTCCCCATGGTCCCCCACCATTTCCCACCCTTAATCCTAGCTAGGCTCCATTCTCCCTTGGCCAGGAGGTCCAGGTCCCAGGTGTTCTGTTCACCCCAGCTTACTGGCCACTTCCATTCAGATCTTCCTTAGACCCCTCCTCCAGTCACCCCAAACTATTTGGTCACTCCTAGATCCCTCCCACAGTCTTTCTGTATATAAGGTCCACCTTGTCTCCATTAAGATGCTCATATTCTAAGAATCTAGCCACTGCTCAGGTTGTTATAATCTAGCCAATAGCTTATTAATATTCAGACTCCTTAAGAGTTTCCCCAATATGACAGATGTTCTAATAAACCCTGTCTTTGGCTGAAAGAAGGTTTGGGTCAGATCTTTTCTGACAGGACCCATGTATTGAGATTTTGGTGTTCCGGCACCCCTGAACCTCTAAGTTCAGGACACCCTGTCCGAAATAATTTGATACAAGCCTTCTTTCAGCCAAAGACAAGGTTTATTAATAATCTGCCACACTGGCCAGATTCTTAAGGAAAATAAGCATTTGTGTCTCTAAAGCAAGAGGATCAGAATCTGAGCCCTTGGCTAGACTGGGAGCATTTGTGACACTTTTTAGAGAGGGCATGAGGAAGTCTCAGCCCCTAAATGGCTGGGATGGATCTTATATACAGAAAGAATATAGGAGCAATCTAGGAGAGGCCAAGTAGTTTGGGGTGACTGGAGGAAGATCTAGGGAGGATCTGGATGGGAGTGGCTGGGACGTGGAATGGATCTAGATAGAGTCTAGGATGGGAAGAGTAACAGACAATGGAGGGCTAGGCTCAATTAGGGTAAAGAAGAACTGGGAGTAAACTATAAAGAAAGGCCAGTTGGGCGGATTACAGCCTCAGGCAACACTTGATCAAGGAAGTGGGGGTCCCTGAGTCTCTAATCCTATCAACTGGCCTTTCCTCATAGACTATTCCTCCATAGTCTTTTATCTGCATGGCCCACAGGCCACTTCCCACGCTTAATCCTAGCTAGGCTCCATTCTCCCTTGGCCAGGTCCTTGGCATTCTATTACCTCACAGTCCCCCAAAGACTAATTGGCCACTCCTAGATATCACTAATGTTCAGATTCCTTCAGAGTCTGGCATGTACGGGTCATCCAAAATAAAATTCGGTCTTTGACTGAAAGAAGATGGGTTGAATTCATTCAGGCAGGATCTTTGGTGTCTGGTCTCAGGGTTTTCAGCACCCCGAGAATCTACACCTCATCAGAAGGAAACCATAGACATTTAATGAGTGACATGGTCAGACTCAAACTTAAGGAAAATCTCTTCAGGAGCTGTGTAGAGGATGAATTGGGAAAGTAAGAGGCAAAGGGTTTTACAATAATTTAGGTGACAGTAATGAGGGCTTGAACTAGGGTGAAAGCTGTGTGGTTATAGAGAAGAGACAATTGAGAGTGATTTGGAGGTAGAAACAAGGTTTGGCAATTGACTGGCTATGTTTAGTTAAGGATGGCAATGAAAGTCAATAAAGAGGTGAACCTAGGTGATGGAAGGAAGGTAGTACTCCTCCCCTTCATTAACAGTCTGAAAGAGGGATAGAGGGGGGAAGATAATGATATCTTCAAACAGTTATACCCATCCATGTCTGTTCTTCCCTGCTATCTCAGCTGGAAATGGCAGACTGGGCTCTACCTCACTATATCACTGTCCCAAGCACATAGTTTGCCTGCCAAAATGCAGCCAGAAGATGATGGACAGGGAAGGACAGGAAGGGAGCTAGAATTTTCCCAAAGGCAAGCTATATAGCTATGGGTGCTTAGGTAGTATTTAGGGTTGAATTGTCCTCTGGGCTTGAAACCAGTGTTAAAATGGAATAAGCAGGTCAATTTATACAAAATGGGGTATAATGGGAGAATGTTAGTTAAGTGTGGTTGTGTTGGAAACAAGACTTCCGATTGGCTATTGTGGAGAATGTGACCCATTTCCCATCTCACCTCACTGGTTTTTCATACACTGCCTCCCTTAGGGTCAAGCTATAGCTCCCCTATGGAGCCCTAGTCTCCATTGTGTAGACCCCTGCATTAGTTTACACTTGATGTTGTCCGACGTTCTTTATAGCTGTAGTACTCAGTGACTTTATGGAAGGAAATTATGAAGATGAAAAAAGGACAAAAGCAGAGTGCTTAAGAACATATAAAAGTCCAAAAGTTTGGAGAGAGTTAAGATAATGACTTAGCACACCTGCCAAGTGAGCCATCATGGGAGGTGGTAGGGCCAGCTAGAACTCTGGTCAAGCTCTAAACAAATTTAACAGACTGAATGCTCACCGGGTACAGAGCATGGTGCAAACACTGAGGGAGATAAAAAAACAGATAACTGTGTCTCTGCCCTCAAGTTTAGTCACAACATAATTGATTAATAAGGGACTAGTGTGGTAAACCAGAAAGAGTCTGACCCCAAGAACATCAGACCTCACCAGGATAAGCAGAACCACAACACCTCAGTTTTTGATACTCAACACTCAGCTTCTTCAGCCTCCTTTCACCTTAGATTGGAGAGCTCCAATCAACTTCTCCCAAAGCCTTCCTTTGTAGAGGGCTTAGATCACCACTTTGCCAGTACCTCTCGATTTTCCATTAGCAGCTCTGCTGTCTTCCTGCTCCCAGACCTCTCCCCTCCAGCTTCCTTTTCTGTGTAGTGCTCTTACATAGTAAGCTCCATAAGGTCAAGGACTGTCTTTTTCCTTGTTGGTATCCCCATAACCACAGGCACTTAATAAATGTTTATTGAACTGAACCGCTATTGAAATAATACAGTCAGCTGGTAATACGAACCTGTACTATGGTGGTGGTAGCAGGATTCCAAGGAATAACTGGTAACTGACTGATACAACAAATAAGGTTCTCAAGATTACAGATACAGAGCTGGAAGTAGAATACCTTAAAGGTCAACTAGTCTACCCCCTTCATTTTACAGGAAATTGCCAAGGTCACACAGGTAGCAAGAAATAATAATAATATTAATAAAACACTGTATGCTAAGCAATTTGCAATTATTAGGTCTTCGAGTCTCAAAATAACCCTGGAAAGTAGGTGCTATTATTATCCCTATTTTACAGATGAGGAAACCAAGGAAAACACAGGCTAAGGTGACTTGCCCAGAGTCAGAGAGCTAGTAAGGTCTTGCTGACTTCAGGCAGGGTTCCCTATGCACTGCACCACTGATCTCAAACGCAGATACCTTTCCACTAAATCTGAGAAAAGGGTGCACCATAAATGCCCTGAGGTTTTCAGCATGGAAGACTTCGGGGGAGGGGAGGGCAGGGCAGCATGTCATTAGGTGCACTGATTGACTCCCCCATCCAAAAGCCGGGGGGGTGGGGGCAGAACGTCCCCTTATTTCACAGACATAGGATGAGGAACCAAAAGTGGAAGAGGAAGTCGGGTGAGGTTGAAAAAGCACATGATTAGGAGTCAGGAGGCCCTACTCAGTCCCAGCTCCGAGCCAATTCACTCTCCCAAGCTGGGCCTCAGTTTCCCCCTCTGTAATATGAGAGGCTGGGCGGGGGCTCGCAGGGGGTCCCTAGCATTCTGGTTTCATGAGAAAGGAAAAGGAAGGCAGTGGAGGGCGGGGCATTGGTGGGGAAAGGGGAGGAGGAGCAAAACTTTGGGGGAAGTTGGGGAGACCAGTCTGAGCTGCCCAAGAGGTCTTGGCAGGAGGGCAGGGCGGAGGGAGAACCAAACGAGAGGACCCGGCCAAGGAAAGGAACCAGGAGCAGGAGAGGGCAGGAAGGCCTGGGGAGCTTCCTGGAGGAGGTGGACAGGATGCCTGGGGCAGAGTGGGAGGGAAGTGAGGGGGGGGTATGCCCCCAGGGGGGCCCGGGAAAGGAGCCGGAAGTGGGGCAGGCAGGGAAGGCCTCTCACAAAAAAGGCCCCAGCCCGAGGCGCTCCGAAGCCGCTTCTCCGAGCCCGCCACTCACCCGCCGCTGGGGGAGAGGAAGTCGGCGTCATCTTCATCGCCAACCCCGAACATTGCGCCTAGGCCGTCGCTCCCCGGGAGGAAAAGGGACGGGGTATCTACCCGGCGCCGGTGTCGTAAAAACGCCGCGGCGTTCCCGCCCTGCTTTCCGGCGGCTAGCACAGGAGAAGGAACGCCGCTATTTCTAAAGGGGAGAGGGGGCGAAAGGAAAGGGGGGAGGGAGAAGAGAGGGGCTAGAGGCCGACAGAGGAAGCCACGTGATTCCGCGTGTCACGTGACGCGAATCGTGCCGGCCCAATCGCGACCAATGGGGCGTGGAAGGTGGGAAGGAGGTGGAAGGAGCGACGCGGTGATTGGCGGTTCCAGGAAGGGGGCGGGGGGAGGAGGGGATTGTAGGGCTACGGCGACTGCTGCTGTGGTAGTGGACACGTAGGGCTGGGGTCTGGTGAGGGGTTGAGTGTGGTTGAGCAAAGTCTCGAGGCTGAAAGGAAGGATCTCAGGAGTTGGTGGCGGCACCTGGATCTAGGACGGTAAGGTCGCATTCCCGACTTCTCCCGGTCTCCTCCATGAATCCTCCCTTAGGGTTCCTTGGGGGGGCCCTACGGGGCTGACCCTTGTCGGTTCCCGTGGTCCCTCTTCCCCACCCCCTCCCCTACCGAACTCGCGTCGGCTCTGCCGCAGGTGGGAGTCATTAGTGCCTGTCCGGGGGCAGCGGTAATGAGAGGAGAAAGCAGAGGACAGAAGTTAGTGCTTTGGCGATCTAGGTCAGTCATTTGGGGGTGAGAGTGGGCCGTGGGGGTGGGACTTGCCTCCAGCCGGAGGAAAAGGTTAATGGGGAACCATTTAATTATAGGTTCCTAGATTTAGAGCTGAGAGAAATCTTAAGAGGCTTGTCTAGTCCAAACTTCATTTGGCAGTCGGTGAAATTGGTCTAGAGAGGTTAATCGACCTGCCCAAGGTCACTTCGTTTGTTTTATGAGTGGGGAAACTGAGGCCCTGCAAGGGGAAGCTACTTGCCCAAAGTCACACATCACCTTAGTCATAGAGATCATATCGTTCAGCTCTCTAGTTTGTAGCAATGAAGAAAGGAGCATTTACTTCCCTTAAGTCATCCAGAGAGTTGGTCCTACAAAATACAAAAAACTCTAGAGAGCATAAGAATAAGAGTTTTCCTTAAAATGATAAGTAGTATCTATCTAAAACCATCAACTAGCGTTATATATAATGGGGATAAGCTGCTATATATAGAAGCTTTCCCAGTAAGATCGGGGTGAAACAAGGATACCCATTATCAATCACCACTACTTAATATTGTATTAGACATCTTTTGGCAATAAGAGAAGAAAAAGAAATGGAAGGAATTTGAGTAGGCAATGAGGAAACCAAACTATCACTCTTTGCAGAGTATATGGATATGATGGTGTACTTAAGAGAATCCTAGAGAATCAGCTAAAAACTTTGAAATAATTAACAATTTTAGCAGTTTCATCACATGAAATAAGCCCATATGTCATGGGCATTTCCATGTAATACTAACAAAGCCCAGCAGCAAGAGATAGAAAGAGAAATTCCATTTAAGATAATTGGACAATATAAACTATTTGGGAGTCTGCCTGCCCAGACAAACCCAGGAATTACATGAACACAATTGCAAAACACTTTACACAAAGTTAGATGTAAAAATATTGGGAAAATATAAATTGTTCATGGGTAGGCCGAACTAATAGAATAATGAGAATTCTACCGTACTACCAAAACTTATAGAGCTAAAAAAATATTTCATCTGGAAGAACAAAAAGTTAAGAATATCAAGGGAATTAATGGAAAAAAAATGCAAAGGAGGGTAGACTAGCCCTACCGGATCTAAAACTATTACAAAGCTGAGAATTAGAATGAAAGAGAACTAGAGTTGAATCCACTACCCCCTCCCTCCATTTACTTGGGAAGCATGAAGCAATGGAAGGAGCCCTGAACTTAGGTCTGGACACTTGGTTTGAATACCAACTGCCACTTAGTATACAAAATGTGGCGATCTTGAATACTAACTGCCACTTAGTATACATATGTATACTAAATCACTTGCTTCTAGTGTTGATTTGTTCTTATTGGACATAATTGTTTCAGGCTAATGTGAGATAACAGATGGGAAAATAGGTCCAATTTTCCTGAAAATCACAGCTACTTCCTGGTTTTCTAAAGCTAGCTAGTGGCTAAGGCTCTTATTTGTGAATTATTTATTAAACTTTGCTCAGAAAAGATCTTCCTTCTAAAACATATATTCTTTGCTCCCTCATCTCTGTCTTAGAATTCCTAGTTTCCTTCAAAGCTCAACTCAAATACGGTTTTCTAAAGACTTTCTGTTCCCCTTAACTGCTAGCCCCTGCCCCCAAAATATTTACCTTCTATTTATTTTTATATATGCTTGTGTGTGTTGTCCTTGAAGGCAGAGACTATACCATCTTTGTCTTTTGTATCTGGCATATACTAGAAACTTAGTAAGCATTAGTTAATTGGTTAATTGTTACATACTCTTCTGGTGTTCACACATTGCCTGCTATTATATTTACCTGTTAGGTGGTGCCTAGTATCTCAGCAGTTAAGATTTAAGTTCCTAGGTAGCCTTGTTTTTAGGCATCTTGGAAATCTTCCCACAACACCTACAACAGTGCCTTGTACAAAGGAATAATTCCTTTACAGTGTGGTGCTTTACGGTTTTCAGAGCGCTTTGACTCTTTATTTCTCACTTAGTAACAGCTTTGTGAAGCAAAAACGGTAACTGTTATACACATTTTACTGATGAGAAAATTGAGGCACAGAGAATAAGTGACACTTAAAAGATCACACAGGCAGTAAGTGGTGAGACCAGAGATAATTCTGCTGACTACTGGAACAAGGCTGTCTTTTACTGTACTGTGGGAAATTTAGGGTTAGCTCAGCCTCCCTGCTTCCCCCTCCACAACCATTCACCACTCATAGTCTCACAAGGATAAGTGTGATTTGCCCAAGGTCACACTGTTAGTAGGTGAGTGGAATGAATGAAAAGTGCTTATTAAAGCTTAGTGTGTGTTGGGCACTGGGGATACAGATACAAAGTGAGATGATCCTTGTTGTCAAGGAGGAAGATAGGGATTTTGTGTGTGTGTGTGTGGCAGTTGGGGTTAAGTGACTTGCCCAGAGTCACACAGCTAGTAAGTGTCAAATGTCTGAGACTGGGTTTGAACTCAGGTCCTCCTGACTCCAAGGCTGGAGCTCTATCCACTCTGCCACCTAACTGCCCCAGGATAGAGCATTTATTAAGCACTTACTATGTGCTAGGTACTAGAAAACAATGAACATAGGAGGGTGGTGATTACTGTGCTGAGAGCAAGAAGTAGGAAGAGGGGAAGTGAGCAATGAGGCTTATATTCATGTTTTTTTAAATTTTCTTTTTTAGGGGGCAGCTGGGTGGCACAGTGGATAGAGCACTGGCCCTGGAGTCTGGAGGACCTGAGTTCAAATCTGGCCTCAGGCATTTGACTTGACACTAGCTATGTGACCCTGGGCAAGTCACTTAAACCCAATTGCCTCTCCCCCAAAAAATTTTTTTAAATTCTTCCTCTTCAAGTGGGCTCCAGAGAGATAGTCATATACTGTTGATATGGTGGGTTAAATTACTCTGAAAGTTGAGGGATACTGGGGAAGAAAGAATTATATTTGATAATCATTTGTATTTGTGATTCTTCCCCAGTTGACAACTGTAGATCTGCAATTGTAGCTTTTTCATATGAAATTGTTGGTTCCAGTTGGCACATTTTGATATTTTTCATCCTTGAATGAGGATATTATTTCTCTAGAGCCCTCAAATTCTGTTCCTTGGTATTTATCTTGAAAGTATAAGCCTACTTGTTTGGTCATATCCAAAGAGTTAGGAGTCTTTTCAGGACCAATAATTTTTGGTGGTTGATATGATCCAGGATACCAAAATCACCATTGGAAGGATACTGTTACTATGAAATGTTTCGGCACCTTAGCGTTTAGTTACAAATGGGTAGCAGGGTTGGAGAGCTGGTCTCTGTTAATTTCACATTCCCCTACTCCAACCACCAGCTAAAACTGTAGAATTATGGACATTTGCATTATTTCCTCAGAATGCATTTTAAAGAATTTTACATTGATGTCTAGACCCTAGACAGATCCTAAAAGTCATAGATCATAAAAGAGTGTAGGATTTAGATTAGGGGTTCTTAACCCAGTCTTTGGAAGCCTATGAACTCCATCTCAGGATAAGGTATTTAAAGAAATTTAAGAATTCTAAATATTAATTAGAAGTTAGTAAGAATATGTAATTTTTTTCCCATCCACCTTCATGGATCCTTTGATCTGAAGGTTCATATATACCTCAGGTTAAGAGCCCTTTGCTGCAGATGAAGACACTGATGCCTACACAGGTAAAATGATGCTTAAGGTCTAATTAGGAGCTGTTTTAAAGGTGACTACTAATGTCGTAAGTTTTTCTGATATCGTCTTATTGTCAAACTGCTGCTTCCTTCTGTCATTCACTTCCATACCAGGAAAAAAGACAACTTAAATAACACTGAAAATAAGTTTTCTGGGAACTGGTTGGAGGTAGGCCCTTTTTGGTGACCTCACCCTCTAAAAATTCTTCTGGAAGAAGCCAGGTTAAACACACTCCCTCCTCTTCCACCCCCAACAGGGTTTTAAGGATGCTAATGCCTGCATTCTTACATTCTGCCCTTGCCAGAGACAAGCCTTTATTTAAAAAAAAAATCAATAATTTCTGACCAGGAATGACGTGAGGTTTTGAAGTAATAAAAAGTTACATAGTTGTCTGTACCATGAGAACTCCTGTAGGTTGCGACTTGATCTACCAGTTTAGGAGAAATGGACATAGGGAAAGAGGTGCCTTTGGTTCCCCTTTGCTCCTGGTTCGATTATGATTTAGGGATGGGCCCTATGCAGAGGAGGACCCACCCTTAGGAATGCAAAGCCAGCTGAGAAGGAAAAGGTTGCTAGGACCCACCTCCAACCCCTCCTTTCCCTTACACAATGGCATTTAGCTTTTGTATACAACCTGCTTTTGTTGGCATTGTGCAATACAGCATCATGAGATGGAGGCTTGCCTTGCAAAAGTAAATAATGGGAAATGTTTTAAAGGACAGACAGAAACTGCAATAGCTTTTCCTGGACAACCAACCAATAAATGCTTATAGGCATTTTGGACAGGTTTAGGAGTTCTAAAGAAAAAGGAGGTAGCATTATAACAAAACAAGGGATACTATTTAGTGTGTCTGGGTTTTTATTTTGATTTGGTTTTTTGAGGGTTTTTTTTAGATTTTGAAGAAGTTAAGTGGTGGTACCTATAGCAGCTGAGAAATTCATAAAATGCTTCTCATTATTTCATGTTTAATCATATAAGCTATAATCTAAAATTCTATGAATCAGTATATTATTCGCTCAAAAACAAAACAAAAAACCCATAACTCTACAGCATCAAATACTGAGAAGTTTGCAGGCCAACAAACTGCATTGT